CATTTTTTTGTCTCCAGGTGCAAACCAGTAATATTTTTTTAAGGCCATTTTTATAAATGTGTCTTAAATAGCCTAATTAAACTAAGGCCTAGTCCTGGCTTAAACTGAGCCCTGTTTGTGAAACTGGGCCTAAATGTACTGTACTGCGACCTTGAAGTGTTTATTGCTGACAATTCTGCTCTGGAGATATTTGATTTTAGTTTACCACGACCAACTGACAGCACTAAACAGAAATATGTAACCCCACGCTCTACAGTTTAAGTGTAATTATTCCTATTATAAGGTCAAAAGTGCATCTAGTGTCCCTTAACATAGCTGGTTTCACACTATAATCCCTGCCCTCTCAGCAAACTGAACCAAACCATACTATGGCTCCAATACTGTGAACCAAACCATACTGTTACACACCTGATATTTGAGCATTTGTTTCATCAATTGAGTTTCATATCTTATAAATTGCACATTTCTTTTCATTACAGACACATGGGAGGAGTGGATGTGTCTGATGCACTAATCGGATATTACACAGTCCTCCATAAAACAAAGAAGTGGTATCGGTCCTTTTTCTACCACTTTGTGGACATCGCTGTCGTCAATGCCTTTATTCTGCACCAGCAGATGGCCAAGTCGAAGAACCAGAAGGCCATGACCCAGAAGGTCTTCCGCGAGACTCTGGTTGCAGAGCTTGCAGGAATAAGGGCTGGTTATCCTCCTGCACGCGAGGCTGCTATTGCTTCTACTGACAACCACCTGCCCAAGTACATCAAAGGCGACAGTACATTCGGAAGACGGAAATGCAAATTGTGCACCCATAAGACTCCAATCACGTGTGTAACGTGCCAGGTGCACTTGTGCTTTGTACCCAAGCGTGATTGTTACACTAAATGGCATGAATCCGGTAACTCTGATTCTGACACCGAGTAAAGTTGTCGAGTCCAAACTACTATCATTTATACTTTTATAAAACAGGCATGGTCAAAGTGCAAAAACACAAGAAATCCAAAGATCTATCAAAAGTGCAACATGAAACTACTAAGACATTCATTAAAGTAACACTTTTATTTGAAAATAGCCTAATTTTACAAGTCCACTAGAATTCAGTAGTTGAGATTTACCATTTTTGAATCCATTCAGCCAATCTCCACGTCTAGCGGAAGCACTTTTAGCTTATGTAATCGAGGTCAGGTTGTAAACCTCACCCATCAGACCTCTAATAAGCAGCAGACGCTAGAGGCCATGGTCTTTAGGCTCTTGGTTATGCTGTGTTAACACTAGACGTTTGAACAAATCGCGATATCCATGCATAAATAGACGAGTGAACATTTAGAGTTTACTCGCTTTATTTCAGATTCATTAGCGCACATTCACGTGTTTATGTGCTTTATGAAGGCTGAAAAACAGCGTCGATTCGTTTGGAGCCTTGTCACTAGTCCACTAGATCCTTTCAGAGATGCACCCAGCTCTGTGAGTTCATAAACTCCTAAGTTCCAGAAACCGCACCTGGATGATGGAGGCTTTCAGCAGTGCTTCAGACTGAGCCACCCCAGTTTGATGAACTGTTGTCCAGTGTCGGCAGGAAGATTTCCCCCCGGAACACCAACAACAGGCGCTACGTCATAATCACGCCCCTATAAGACAAAGCTCATGATTGGTTTACACAGCTTGGATGTCCGCTAAAGTTTACATTTTCCAACATGAGTGAAATGTGAGATAAGCCCATCAATCACGCAGCTTGCTCAACTCACGCCATTTCGTTCGCGGCAATTGTGTCATTTGCGTGTATTGCGCCGCAGGATGTCTATTCGTGTCTTTGCATTGACTTGACAGGTAAATCACTTGCGCTTGCCACCGCTTTCGTGTCTGGTGTGAATGCAGCATTAGAGCGACCGACTTCCATGCATTGAGTCGCTGGTTCAATCCTAGTTCGGAGCGGGTTGGGTGGTGTAGGACCTGCGGGGTTGCACTTAGCTTAGCATAAATCATTGAATTGGATTAGACCATTAGCATCTCATTTAAAAATAGAGTTCCTATAATAAAGCTTGACTCCTGAAAGTTACTGTTTTCCAGGTCAATATGTCTAGAAACTTTTCTCTTATTCTTTTATAATAATCAAGGAACTTTGATGCGGTAAGCTAGAATTGCTCCCGGCAGACTTGGAAATCAGCTGAAATGGTTTATAAATGGTTGAACTCCTCGTTTTAACTCTAGGGGAGTTGTAAAAGGGGACGTTCATTGTAAAAAGTGGAGTGTTCCTTTTAGATGGTTGTTTCACCCAAAAACGAAACGCTTGTTATTAAATACCCACCCTTATGTTGTTCCAATCCCCAGAGACCTTCACTCTACTTCTCAAGTTTCACCTAAAATAATTCAATAATTCTCATCCTCCATAGGCATTAAGGTTCAGTGGTTCAGTCGGATTATCAAGCTATAGGAATAATTTTGTGTGCATATAACAAAACTAACTTTATTCAACAGTTTCATCTTCTCAGTGTCAGTATATTGCACACATTCATTCAATAATGCATACCTTTCCCCAATGCACATGTGTCACTTCTTCTTCATGAAATAAAGCAAAAGAATCTTACGAAACATGTTATAGGTATGACACACATATCGCTAACATGAACGTGCGCTCTATACTGACACTGAGGAGTTCTTCTCACTTTTAAATAAAGTTGCTATCCTAGTTTTATTTATTTGAAATGTATATTATTTTTATTATTTTGGATAGGACGGTGAAGAGTACTGACAGGAAATCTTGTAGAGCAGAGAGAGAGGAATGATAGCCAAAATACCTTAAGCTTGGAATCGAACTGTCACCGTGAGCTAAAGCTGTGTAGTTAATCGAAATTCAGTTTCGATTTTGGCTTCCGACAATTGTGGACAAAAAAAAGTAAATCGATATAAAACGATTATTGTATCTATCTATCTATCTATCTATCTATCTATCTATCTATCTATCTATCTATCTATCTATCTATCTATCTATCTATCTATCTATCTATCTATCTATCTATCTATCTATCTATCTATCTATCTATCTATCTATCTATAAACTGCTTTAATCTATCTATCTATCTATCTATCTATCTATCTATCTATCTATCTATCTATCTATCTATCTATCTATCTATCTATCTATCTATCTATCTATCTATCTATAAACTGCTTTAATCTATCTATCTGTCTGTCTGTCTGTCTGTCTGTCTGTCTGTCTGTCTGTCTGTCTGTCTGTCTGTCTGTCTGTCTGTCTATCTATCTATCTATCTATCTATCTATAAACTGCTTTAATCTATATTTATCTATCTATCATCTATCTATCTATCTATCTATCTATCTATCTATCTATCTATCTATCTATCTATCTATCTATCTATCTATCTATCTATCTATCTATCTATCTATCTATCTATCTATCTATCTATCTATCTATGCATCCATCCACGCATCTATCTGTCTATCTATCTATCTATGCATCCATCCACGCATCTATCTGTCTATCTATCTATCTATCTACGCATCTATCTGTCTACGCATCCATCCATCCAATAATCATAATTACAATTTTAACCAATATAATTGTGATTTGGGATTTTTCCCATAATCAAGAAGTCTTACCGTGAGCACCTCTGTGTTATATGTTGACACACTTAACCGCTAGGCTATTGGCACTGATACTATTTTAATTTCATGTGCGCAAAAAATTATTTTCATAGCCTGGGAATATTTAACTTGAACCACAGAAGGCATAAGGTCAGTTTTGTGAAAGTTTTTGGTATTTTTCTGGATTTTAAACAACATGGACTTCATCAATATGCAATCTGAAGATTAATGAAGGCCTCAGGGGTTTTGAATCACATTAGGGCGAGTAATTAATAATATAACTTTAATTTTTGGGTAAACAAACACTTTAATGATATTTTAAGCTACTAACATGTATTAAAATATACCAAATATGTATGTAGAGTGGTTGGTTTTTATTACTCACACTTAATCTTTGTAAAGAAATTTATCAAATGTTTTTAATCTTACTTACTCGACAGTGCTGTGATCTGTAGACCTGAAGGGATGAAGTGTTTAACATTATCATCACAGTTTTATAGTCCACTTTTTTATACCTTTGTCTGTAATATGTTGAACTACTAACAATGCTGTGGCCGTGGCTTCAGTGGTGAATGAACACTGTCTTTAAACTACTGTGTATTATTAAATACTCATTTAATAAGTGCTCTCTCTCGGAATTCATTTCATTTATTGTTTTATTTTTGGATGGGGATATGCATTTATGCGAAATCTGTGAAGAATATTGGTGGAATTGTCACAGGATCGTGTTCGTGAGCAATCTGAATCACTAAAGATGTATTAAACAATCATTCTGATTAAGATTAGCATAAAAATAATTCAAGATGAAGAATATTGTCGCTAAACAAATGTCAAGCTCACTTTTTCTTACATTCTACATCACTGTTTACTTTATAGTAAAGTTTTAGAATAAGGATATTTAGCAGACAACAACATTCATGAAGCTGAGACGATCGTGTTTAGTGAACTACAGTTCCTTCCAACATGGGCTCCGAAGGGTTGTTTGTTTTTGACGAATACTTCATCCCGTCCTGGATTGGTGAGTTTATTCATCTTTATACATTAAGTACACTAGGCAGACTAATTAAAAGTAGTTAATCATATTTCATAACATTTTTTGTTATACCTGGGCTATGCAAATACTGAAATAATTTATCTCTTTAGAATGGATTACATTTTTAAAATATTTTACTTAATAGAGTGGTAAAGAGTTTATTATAGGTGCTTACAGCAGGGTTTCTGCGGGTTTCACCACGTCAAATTTAAGACTTTAAAACCCTTTTAAGAAATCTAAGACTTTTACAGGGTAAAATGCTAAGGATTGCCTGTAAAGGCTGGTGGAATAATGTATTTATTTTTTATTAAAATTAAAATTCAGTTATTTTTAAGCGCCATATTTGAAATAATGTGTCAAAACATAGTTATATAAATATTTATTACCAAAGCTTTTCTTTAAAAACTACAATAAGCTAAATTTATTTACAACATACATTTATGTGTAAATACATGAATAACTGTTATTGTAAGGATGTAAGGAAGACAATATTTTGGTAGTTAATCAATTTTTACTTTTGTAAAATGTTTTTATTATTATTATTTAGATGGATTGTTGGTTGTACCGATTGGGTAGCTTTACATAAAAAAATGAAAGTGAAGACCTGTTTAAAAGTATTTAAGACATTCGTTTTAAGGTCTAAATTTTAGTTATTGACATTTAAAGCCCTCGCTGACACCCTGATAGCTGGATAGTTTACCTAAAATGCAAAAATGACTTTATTTAATCACCCTTGTGTGCTTTAAACCTTTATGTTGAACACAAAAGAAGATGTTTTGAAGAATGTTGGAAACCTGTAACTGTTGACTTCTGTAGTAGAAAATCAAACGCTATGGAAGTCAATAAGTGTCATGGGCCAGGTTTAATCTGGGCTCCTCTATCCTGTCTGTTCTCTGTCTCAGCTGTTTCCTTTCACGATCAGCTCTTGAGCGCACGCATTACTCACCTGTAGCTCTTTTCATCTGATTTCCCCCTCTATGTATGCCTGCCCTTTTGTGAAGCTGTTTGCCAGATTATTGTGTTTGATTTTCTGTACACTTTGCGTGAGACTTCGCTAACTATAAATCCATTCTTCAATGAATCCTTGTCTAAGTCTAGTCCAGTCTCGTTTAAGTAACCATCTATTGCCATACCTGTGATCTGCGCAGCTACACCACTGTGTGGAGTCCAACACAATCTCATGGCAATTCGTAACTTTTTCATTTAGTGGCTAATTCGTACGATCTAATTCATACATTTTAGTATGATTTGCTCATCCCCCAATGACGGTTGGGTTTAGGGGTGGGGTTAGGTGCCACGCCTCCTTTTTAAAATCTTACAATTTCTTACGACTGAACTCGTACGAATTCATACGAATTAGCCACTAAACTGCCAAAACTTAAAATACTTCCGTTTTCTCGTGAGATCAGGCTGGTGGAGTCCGACCTCATCAACCCCCCGTGCTCGCCAGCACCAGCATCCGCACCACTACAGGAGACCTCTCCCTGCTTAAAGTCCTTTTAGAACCCCCTCGGCTCGGGTCTAGAGAGAGAAGCTTTCTGTGGCCGTAAAACCAGCCTACGTTAACCTTCGATGACAGACGAACGGAAGCTGCCTTTGTTTGTTTATAAACTTTCTGTTTGAGCAAATTCTGACTTCGTATTCTGTCCAGTTCATGACAATAAGTCCCAACATTTTTCAAAAAATCTTTTTTGTTCGTCAAAAAAAAAGAAACTCAAACTGGTTTAAAACAAATGAAGGGTGAGTAAATGATGACAGAATTTTCAGTTTTGGGTGAACTATGCCTTTAAGGCATTGTTGTCATCATCATCAGTGGTATTTGATATCGCTTGATTGGTTGCCAGGTCATCACTTGTACATGACTAGTTCCTTTGTTAAAATGCGATTTCTAAAATTCATCTGCTGGCATTGTAATTGGTGTTTTTCAGCTATGCAAAGTAAACAATTATTCATGCTTTAAGCATTAAAAGCAATGAAATTCTGCAGCTTTTTGGAGGGGAAAATATGACATAAAATAAAAGCTCACAAGTTTGTTTTGATATTTGATGTTTATTTTTGGGAATATGGAATATTGAAGCAACAGTTCAGTCAGAAATGAAAAAAATCCTCATCATTTACTCGCCCTCAAGTGGTTTTAAACTTTTATGATTTGTTTTTCAACTGTTGAACACAAAATAAGATATTTTGAAGAATGTTGGAAACTGGTAACCACCAACTTCCACAGTATATTTTGTTTCAACTATTAAATTCAATGGTGTTTTTACATCCAACATTCTTCATAGTCGAAACAAAGTACTATGGACGTCAGTGGTTACCAGTTTCCAACATCCTTCAAAATATCTTCTTTTAGTTTTCAATAGAAGAAAGAAACTCAAACAGGATTGGAACAAGAGAAGGAGTAAATGATGACAGAATTTTTACTTTTAAATTATGGAGGTGAACTATCATTTGAATGCAAGTAATGTATATAAAATGTAAATTAAAATGTATGTTAAAGAATGAATGATTTTAAACTCAAGTTGGCCTTTTAAAGAGGTAGCATCTCTTAAACTTGAGTATCAGCACATTTTAAGATCCCATCATGCTTTGCGTTTCTGTGGTTTCTTGGTTTTGCCGGTGGCCTTTGCTGCAGGTTTCTTCTTTAGAGTCACCTCCACTGGATAATGGTCACTGACATCCAGAGCCTGCCGTTGATAAACCATTTCAGTGTATATTTATGTTATATCCATGCAAAGCACACATTATAAAACAGACATGTACAGTAAATAATAAATGCACCTCTTCTTCTGTGAGTTTGTAGGCCTCCTGGAAGTTGAACGGTTTTGCAGACCTTGGCACGACAGCCTCAAGCATGTCCTCTTTATACACCACAATCCTGCAGAAAATACTTGCCATTAACATTTTGCAAAGGTTTGTACATTATTTTATTAATACAGCTGTTTATTATACATTCACACTCCTGGAGATGTTTGATGTGGAAGGGGAAAACTGTCATTTTAATGCAAAATTGAAATATTGATGAAAAAAAATTGTCTTACAGATGTTGCTGATGTTTGTTTCACAAATTTAAAGCACTGACCAACAGAAAGAAAATACACTCTAGAAAATGCATTGCGTCAAATATGATTAAACCCATTGTTGGGTTAATCGTGTTTTTATTTTAGGCCTCCGTCGGTCAGTGTTGACCATGGATGACGTATCCTAGCTCTTATCTTGAGGCATGACTGATTGTCTGAGACGGCGTCGTTGGTGGCTGACCAATACGAGAGAGGCATTCTTTACCGCAGCAGTCGCATTGATAGGTGGCTCCCTGACTGACGCTCTGCACCTTTCGGTAAACTTGCTTGTCCTGTGACGCACGCATCATGTTCTTCTCACCTGACTTGAGCTGTTTGGTCAGGGTGCACCTCCATTTCAGGCGGTCTACTGCGAGGTCTTCCCAGGACTTGGTGTTTATGTTGAGGGCCTTCATGTCCCTCTTCACGACATCTTTAAATCTCAGAAATGGGCGTCCTGTGGTTCTCTTCCCAGATGAGAGTTCTCCGTAAAGGTTATCCTTTGGGATTCTCCCATCCTCCATATGGCGCACATGGCCAAGCCAGTGCAGGCGACGTTGTCGGACGTTAAAATTACATTTTAATTAAATCCAATTTTTGGTTTTGTCCATATTTGATCCAACATTGGTTTACAATTACCCAGCGTTTCTTTAGAGTGTGTTTGCAAGTTACATTTCTTTAAACTGGTTCTTACGATCCACTTTTACATACGATATTTAATGTTTACTCAATTTTATTAATAAACTTTTAAATATTATCTAATGTGCAATGCAATTTTTTTTCAACTAATGCAACTTGAAGCCAAATATGGACAAATCCAATGTTGGGTTAATGTTTTCTATTCTATTAAAATGAAATGACACTTTTAAATCCAATATTCGGATTCGTCTGTATTTGACCCAACATTGGTTTACGACAACCCAGAATTTTTTTTAGAGTGTTTGTGAGTTACATTTCTTAAACCGGTTCTTACGATCCACATTTACAAACAACTCAATGTTTACTCATATTTATTAATAAACATTTGAATTTTAGATAATCTACAATGCTATTCTTCATTGTCATAATGTAACGTAAAGCCAACTGACTACTAATTAAACTTCTAAGCTCATCCCATATGAAAATGAATAATGGTTTTACTACACATAAAGCCAAATAAAACAGTAATTGTAAAGGACAAATTAACCACAGTTTTTTTGCTCTTAAAAAAAGGTTTTTGTAACCCAATGTTTGTGTCACGATTACCAGCGATCATATCCCAAAAGATCGCTGGTTTGCACTAACTATAACAATGGACTACAAATCCACCATTTATGGACTACATTTTCATACATGCACTCCGGTCACACTCGCACATGCTTCCTCATCTAGACTGATTACTCGCACCACCTGTGGATTGTCAGAAACTGATTGCACACACTATTTAAGCTACACACTCACTTATTCACTTTGCAGAGTCTTGTTAGCTGTATAGATGACATTACGACGCGTTATTCCTGTCTAGTTTTCCTGTGTTTTCAACCTAGCTTAGTTTTCTTGTTCTCCCTGCCTGCTGCCTGCCTTTTTGACCTCTCGCTTGTTACCGATTACGATTCTGGACTGCCTACACATATCTGTTTATACCTGTTGACCTTTGCTTGCCTAACAACGATTAAACCTGCATTTTTGGATCCTACCTTCAGTTGTCTGTGTCACTCCCCGTGGTTTACAGTTTCCAACTAAAGTTAAATTGCACTTTTTAACCCAATGGTTGGGTTTGTCCATATTTGACCAAACATTGTTATGGTTTTACTACAAATAAAGCCAAAAAACATGATAATTGTAGTTAAACCACATATGAAGAAATGTTTTTGTACTTTGTTGTAGTAGCCCAACGTTGGGTCGATCCCAACCATTGGGTTAAAAAGTGTAATGTAACTTTAGTTGGTTAAAAATAACCCAATGTTGAGTTTGTCTATATTTTAACCAACATTGGATTAGGATAACCCAGCAGTTTTAGAGTACTGATGGCAAAATGTATAGAGTTTTGTCAGTTAAGTAAGATATGACATTATTGAACAGTTCTAATAAAGACGTCTCTTAAGCTTTAAAATGACCCCAACGTTGGGTCAAATATGGAAAACCCCAACCATTGGGTTAAACATTTTTTATCTAAATTTAATTGAAACAATTAACCAAACATTGGGTTTGTTTGGCATATTTGTTCCAAAATTGGGTTACAACTTTAGTATATAAATCACCGTTAAACCACGCTGTTTGTGGTAAAACTGTGGCTTTGCCAAGACACTAATTGCACCAAACCTTAAAGTTACCACACATTTACTAGACCATAATAAAACCACAGTTAATTTGGATAAGGGGTAATTACGAACTACTCTGGATTCCCACAAAAGACACATTTCACTTTCAAGAGAAGTGCAACTGATTATGTTTCTTATTACTTCCATCACTATTTACTTTAATTGTGTTGCAACAAACATTTCGCATCCGTTTGCACAATGTGTAACTCTGAATTCTTTATATTTAAACAGAACCGCACAGCAAAAGTTTATTGATGCTCCTCACCTGTCGTAGGTGTTGTCGTTGGTCGTTTTGACGGTGGTGTCAACATCATCTCCAATCAGCCAGTGGAAATCGGTATCGGTGCGGATTCTGATGGCCTTCATCTTCTTCTTGGAGACGTAAGCACCGTCTGCGTTGAAGTCGCCAAGGATCATGACGTTCTGTAAGACAACGCAAGCAAAGTCTTACTCATATTTGGTTAAACTAAAGATTAGAATTTCTCCATTTTAAATAAACAAATCACCTGTTAGATAAGTTCATTTTATTTTTTCCGTCTTTTCTATTTAAATTCTTTGTATACACTACCTGACAAAAGTCTTGTCGCATATCAAAGTTTTAGAAACAGCAAATAATAACTCGACTTCTAGTTGATCGTTGGTATCAAAAGTGGCTTACATAAAAAGGCAAAGGCCTCTAGATTAAGCTTTTTTTAACCACAATAAAATTTGATCATGTCTTGATTTTTAATTATTTAATTAGGACAGTAAGGTCTGACTTTGCTTAGACAAACGTCTTGTCACTTAACAGAAAGGACTTGCAGGATTTCCAGAGTTCATCAAGATTCTTTGGATTTATCTTCAATGCCTACTCCTTCATCTTACCCCAGACATGCTCAATAATGTTCATATCTGGTGACTGGGCTGGACAATCCTGGAGCACTTTGACCTTCTTTGCTTTCAGGAGCTTTTTGTGGAGGCTGAAGTATTAGAAGGAGCGCTCTCCTGCTGGAGAATTTGCCCTCTGCTGTGGTTTGAAATGTAATGGGCAGCACAAAAGTTTTGATACCTCAGCCTGTTGATGTTGATAATCCACTCTGCAGAGCTCTCGCACGCCCCCATACTGAATGTTACCCCAAACCATGATTTTTCCTTCACCAAACTTGACTGATTTCTGTGAGAATCTTGGGTCCATGGCTTCCAGTAGGTCTTCTGCAGTATTTGTGATGATTGGGATGCAGATCAACAGATGATTCATCACAAAAATCCACCTTCGGACACTTTTTTCCAAATGATCAACTAGAAGTGTTGCTCTTACAACTGGGATCGACAACAAGACTTTTGTCAGGTAATGTATATGTATACTTTTAAAGAAATCCAAAGTTGATGTTATAAATGTATGTGCTTCTTGATATAATCACATGCTCAATTGGAGTTTTCAATCAGTTAAATGATTGGATTGTCAGCACAGTTTTTTTCTGCAACTGGCACAATGATTTAATTATAAAATCAAACGGATTCTACCAAACAAACTGAATAGACCTCTGATTAAAGACAACACTTTATCATCTGTTTGTAGACTGTATAAAAACTGGCCTCGAAATACTGCCCTTTTAACAACCAGAGTGAAACTTCTTGTGCTTCTTCTGTTGTGTTCTCTTACTGCAAGAACATTAAATCTTTAAAATGGGTCTTTGAATAATTTGTGATCCTGACATCATCTTGTATTAAAACATGTTATTCAGCCAAAAAAGAACACCAATCCTTTCATTTTCAATGTAAAACGACATTCTAAACTCAAAAACACTTTCAGTTTGTTGGTGTATGGTTTGATAGGATAAAACTAGTTAGCAATCTGTAATCTGTGGGTTAAAAATCTAAATATTGAGAAATTTGCCAAATTAAGCTCTTAAAATATGTGTTTTGATATGTTTACAGTAGGATATTAATAATACATATATTCATGGAACATAATATTTACTTAATATTCTGATGAATTTTGTCTTTAAAAAAACTAATTGATAACTTGGACTACAATTTGGATACAATTTTTCTAATTTGACTTGAACACACCATTAGTTTCAGCGTTATCTGGGAATAACATGTTTTAACATGTTATCCTATATGAATTGGCATGTTTTGTCTTGTTTCATATGTTTTTAGCACTGTGCTCACATGGTTTTTTGTTACAATCATGTTTTACCACTATGCTCACAAGATTTAGCACTTTTTTGGCATACATTAACATGTTTTACATGCATCATATTCATAAATACAACTTTTCCAATGAAGTTGCAGCAGTTGTTATCTGGGAAAACATGTTTTAACATGTTTTCTCTATATGAACTAGCATGTTTTCTCTTGTTTCATATGTTTTAGCTCTGTGCTAGCATGGTTTGTTTGTCGCAACCATGTTTTAATGCTATGCTATCATGATTTAGCATGTTTTAGCATAAATTAGCATGTTTTTGCGTGACTCTTGCACATTTATACCCTGTTTTAACGTTGCAAAAAGCCATTTGGTATAGACTTTATGATGGCGCTCACAGGCATTATATTTATAAATACAATTTTTTCGACATTACTTGAACACACCAACTAGTTTTAGCGGTTGTTATCTGGGAATAACACATTTTAACATGTTTTGCCCATATGAATTAGTATGTTTTGTCTTTTTTTATACGTTTTTAGCACTGTGCTAGCATGGTTTGTTACAATTAAGTTTTAACACTAAACAAACACAAATTACCATGTTTTTGCATAAGTTAACATGTTTTAGCTTGTTGCTTGTATGTTCATACTGTTTTAACATGTAAGAACCTATGTAGTATAGAATTTGTAGTGGCATGCATGTGCATTATATTCATAAATACAATTTTTCCAATGAATCCTTAGCTTCAGTGGTTGTTATCTGGGAATAACATGTTTTGCCTATATGACTTAGTATGTTTTGTTTAAAATGTTTTAGCACTTTGCTAGCATGGTTTGTTACAATCATGTTTTAACACTATGCTAACACAATATAGCATGTTTTAGCATAAATTAACATGTTTTGACATGTTGCTTGCACATTTATACCTGTTTGAACATGTTGTAGGAAGCCATGTGGTATAGACTTTTGTAGTGGCATTCATGAGCATTGTATTCATAAATAAACCTATTTAGACATGAATTGAACACACCAACTAGTTTGAGCGGTTGTTATCTGGAAATAACATGTTTTGCCTATATGAATTAGCATGTTTTGTCTTGTTTCATTTGTTTTAGATCTGTCCTAGCATGGTTTGTTAGTTACAGTCATGTTTTAACACTATCCTAACAAAATTTAGCATGTTTTAGCATTACATAACATGTTTTGTAGTGTTGCTTGCACATTTATATCCTTTTTTAACATTGTAAGAAGCCATTTAGTATAGACTTTGTAGTTAAATTGACGAGCATTATATTTAGAAATAAAATTGTTCAGACATGACTTGAACGAACATGACGTTTGAGCGGTTGTTATTTTGGAATAACATGTTTTAACACATTTTGGCTCTGTTAATTAGCTTGTTTTGTTTTTATTTGTTTTAGTTATGTGCTAGCATGATTTGTTACAATCATGTTTTACCAATATGCTAACATGAATTAGCATGTTTTAGCATAAGTTAACATATTTTAGCATGGTTCATGCATATTTATAACCTGTTTTAACATGTTGTAAGAAGCTACGTAGTATAAGCTTTGTTGTGGCATTATATTCATAAATATATTTTTTCCAACACAGCATTAGTTTCGGTGCTAGTTACCTGGTAATAACATGTTTTGCCTGTATGTTTAGCATGTTTTGCCTTGTTTCATATGTTTTAGTTCTGTGCTAGTGCATGTTTTAGCAAAAGTTAACATGTTTTAGCATGATGCTTGCATATATATATATATATATATATATATATATATATATATATATATATATATATATATATATACATATTTATGGCATTCACAAGCATTTTATTCAGAAATGGAATTTTCTGACATTACTTGAACACATTAACTAGTTTTAGCAGTTGTTATCTGTTATATGTTTTAACATGTTTTGCCTATATGAATTGGCATGTTTTGTCTTGTTTTACATGTTTTAGTTCTGTGCTAGCATGTTTTTGTTACAATTATGTTTTAACACTATGCTAACACGATATAGCAAGTTTTAGCTTGTTGCTTGCATTTTTAAACCATTTTAACATGTTGTAAGAACCTATGTAGTATAGAATTTGTTGTGGCATTCAAGTACTTTATATTTATAAATACATTTTTTCCAATGCACTATTAGTTTCAGCGGTTGTTATCTGGGAATAACATGTTTTGCCTATAAACATTAGCATGTTTTGTCTTGTTTCATATGTGTTAGCTCTGTGCTAGCATGGTTTGTCTGTTACAGTTATGTTTTTAACACTGTCAACATGATTAGCATGTTTTAGCATACGTTAACACATTTTAGCATGTTGCTTGCATGTTTATACCCTGTTTTGACCAACCAGATTAATTAAGCCTTGGTCAAGTGTTTTGGAATGTCCCCATTTTATCAATATGCACATTATTATATATTGTTTAATAGTTGCATAATGCTAAACTCACATCAGTCTTCCATTTATCTCTGACTTCCACAAAGACATCATACAGTTCATCCAGTTCCTTCTGCGAGTCTTTGGGCTTTGTGTGGACAGGGATCAGCACCAAATCTTTCATCACTGGAAAAGAGAGCAGGTAATTGAGTTTATTAATTAATATTTTTCTCCTCTTGTTTTCTACTGTGAAAAGCAAGCAGATTTCTTACCTGTGTTTTTACATTGGAAACGCAGAATGAACGGCTCCCGAGAGAAAGCATCTTCATCACCCACTTGGTTGTCTTCATATTGGTATGTGTTGAGCAGTTTAGCATCAGCTTCTCTGTTGGATATGAGCAAAAGGCCTTAAATAGTGCTACATGAATGACTGGTCTTAGTCGAACATACATATTTTGTTTAAAACTGCTATGTAAGCTATAAATATATATTTAAGATGATGTGAAAAAGAGAAAATGTTTTCCTAGCATGTAAACATAATGCTAACATGAATAACTATGCTGCTAGCAAGCTTCCAACATGTTTTAGCATGTTTAACACATTGCTAATGGGTTTTTACATGTTGCTAGCATGTTTAACCTACCTTGTTAGCATGAGTTAACATGTTTTAGCATGTTGATAGCATAAAACCGTATAGCATACAAATGTTTACAAGACATTTTGAAGAGCATTTGGTCTGAAGCCATTTAGAAAGGTCTGATAAATATCATAAAACATGCTTTTCGAACATTTTAAATCATAAACATCTTGAATATCTTTCAAAACCTCTATTTAACGATCGACATATTACAGATTAGCACATGTGTGCAAAATATTGAACCAGAGACACCAAATAGATGTTTCTGCGATATGTAGGATAATCAGGAAAAAAATATTGCTAGTATGTTTCTAGCATACTTTAAATTGATATTTAATTGATAATTAGCTTGTAACTACCATGTTTAACTACATTGCTAAGCATGTTTGCTAGCATACTTTGTATGTTTAACATGATTGCAACAAACAAGCTAGCACAGTACTAAAACATATGAAACAAGACAAAACATGCCAATTCTTAAAAGGAAAAGTTATTAAAACATGTTATTCCCAGATAACAACCTTTGAAACTAATGGTGCATTGAAGTCATGTTTGAAAATTTGTATTAATGAATATAATGCTTGTGAATGCAACTACAAAGTCTATACTATATGGCTTCTTACAACATGTTCGAACATGGTATAGACATACAAACAGCATGCTAAAACATGTTAACTTATGCTATAACATGCTAAATCTGTAATCCATGTTTGAGGTTTGACCAATATGCTAACATGATTATGCGGTTTAACAAGTTAATAGTATGAACAATCAATTTGCTAGCACATTTTTTGCATGTTTTATCAAATGAATAACATGTTTTGCCTTTATGAATTAGCATGTGTTGTCTTTTTTCATATGCTTTAGCACTGTGCTAGCATGAGTTGTTTGTTACAACCATGTTTTAACAATATGGTAACTTAAATCAGCATGTTTTAGCACAAGTTAACATGTTTTAGCATGTTGCTTCCATGTTTATACCCTGTTTTAACATGTTGCCATGCAGTACATACTTTGTAGTGGTGTTAAAGTGTAGTCAGTTCATAAATACAATGTTTTAGCATAAGTTAACATGTTTTAGCATGTTTTTTTCCTGTTTTAAGATGCTGTTAGAAGCTATGTTGTATAGCTAGTTTTTTGCACGGGGCAAACATGTCTCTAACGTGTCTGCTAGCATGAATAAACATTTTGATAATGCTTTTAAGCACATAATTATATCACATTTTAGGTGTTAATAACATGTTTTAGCACATTGTTATTATGAAGCTTCCAGCATATTATTAACACACTTAAAGCCTGTTTTTTTTTTTTAAAGCCATTTTTCTAGTACATGGTTATCATGTTTTAGCTGTTGATATCATGTTACTATGAACTGGCATGCTGCCAGCATAATGTTAACACACTTATACCCAGTTTTGCCTGTGGCTAATGTTTTTAACATGTCTGCTAGCATAAATAGACAAGTTGATATTAATTTTCATCACATTTATCACATTTTAACAGGTTTTAGCACATTGCTAGTATGTATTAGCATGATGCTCCCATGTTTAGGATGTCACAAGCATGTCAGAATGTTCAGCATTGATAAATAGCTCCAATTAGTGATGTTTGACTGACTATTCATTATTAAACAACAAGTTTAGCTTCGTTTTATCCTTCAGATTTGCAATAGTCACCATACGCAGTACCTGTAGAAGCAGACAAACTGCTCCTTGTAGAGCGTCCGCCCCAGTCTAGAGCTTCCCACCATCTTGAACGGACTGTTCTTATTAGCTCTGTGGGAAACACAGCGAGTTACATTTGGTTTGAGGGATGAACTACATGCTTTTTGAACTATGAAGCCTCAGAAATCATACAGACCCAGTTTTGTTGAGCTCGTTCAAGAACTGGTTGATGGCTTTCCCCTGTTTATCCACCACCTCCAGGACAATGACTATACTATACCGGGAGAAGATCTAGGGGAAAAGTGTTGCCTTTTTTTAGTATTTTGTTGTCATTTTAAGTGATTCCTTTGAACAATAAGACGACAAACTGACCTTGATGAGAGTTTTGACTACTTTTTTGTCCGACAGTTTGCTTGGACCCATACGTTGGATGTTAAAAGATGCGATCTTCATGTTGTCGACCTTAAATAAAATCTAAAACCACAAACAAGGCGGCATTTTGTGAAAAGAAAAAAACAACTGTTGTCACTTTATGGTCAGTTGGGAGTTTCTATGCTATTTTCCTGTTGTAAACCCTCAGAGGTGTTTGAGGATGCATTGTGTGAAGACAGGAAACTCTTAATGTTTGCACAGAGCAGACATGTGCGATAATGCAGGAAACCGATTGAGACAGAAAGGAAAACCAAAAAGTTTTACTTTGAGAAATTGAAAGGAAAACAAGTTTAACTGATTGCATAAGTTTATTAAAGTCTCCAAAAGTCCCAGCGATTGCATTTAAACACTTTTCAGTACTCAAATGTATCATCATGTAAACAAACAAAAACAAAAAAGAGCTCTTACCAAAGCTGCTGTGATTACAATGAAGTCAAGTCTTGTTTTTCCAGTGTTGTCTGTTATAAAACTATGCTGAATAATGAATGAGCGCTCATTTGAAAATAAAGGCCAAGCCTACTTCCTGTCTTTCATCTGATATGGTCTGTCGCACAGATGCCTTGTTAAACTTGTAGACGCCTTTTAGAAAAGAAATTTACAACCTGCCTGACAAGAGGAAACCCATGTGCTTTAAGATCAAATGACTTGACTGTTGAAAATAAAGAACTCAGTTTGCATTTGTGAGACTCCACCCTTCAGGAGGTCTAGATAATAATGTCGTGCAGACACACTTGTCGAAAGCACTCTGGTGGTTTCAGTATGGTGTCAGATGTCACCAAGTCTAACCTCAAAAACATTTCCCTACAAGCAATTTCAGTTAGCTGACAGACTTCACTTTAAACTGAAGATCAAGATTTGCAGCATTTCAGATTTCAATTAAGAATTACAAGATTCTTTTTTTAGAATTGAAAGTTCCGTTAAAAGAATCTTTAAAATTGATTAAACTTTTCAGTCACAAAACGATTTATTATATAATTTAAAATATTCTTCACAACAAAAATACATTTTTGGCTGAAAAGTTATTTGTAGAACTACTTTTTAATGTGGAAAGCTTAAAATCATTAAGATATTTAATAGAATTAAGGGGGTTATTGAAACAACAATAGTATAATACGGCTAAAAATAGTTTTAATTAGACTATGATTTTAGTTTTTCCAATTATTTGACTTCTTTATCAAAAGGAATTTGAAACCATAATATTTCTGTCTGTATCTTCTATAATATCATTAATTAATTTTTCTTCTGCTTAGTCCCTTTATTCATCAGAGGTCGCCACAGCGGACTGAACCGCCAACTGTTCCAGCATATTTTTTACACAGCAGATGCCCTTCCAGCTGCAACCCAGTACTGGGAAACATCCATACACACTCATTCTTTCTCACACACACACACACACTATGGCCAATTTAGTTTATTCAATTACCCTATAGCGCATGTCTTTGGACTGTGGGTGAAACCGGAGCACCTGGGCGAAACCCAAAGCATGAACATGCAAACTGCACACAGAAATGTCAACTCGAACCAACAGAGACTTGAACCAGCGACCTTCTTGCTCTGAGGTGACAGTGCTTACCATTGAGCCACTGCGCTGCCCAATTCACAGAACTTTTCCATTCCAAAAATAGAAATATAAAAATATTAGACGACTTAAATATACTTCACAACAAAAAGAAATGCTTTTAAAAGATTTTTTGGCTGAACCGTTATTTGTAGAACAAATTTTTATGTGGAAAAAAACATAATATTATTAAGGTATTTAATAGAATTAAGGGGTTTATCAAAACAACAATAGTATAATACAGCTAAAAATAGTTTTAATTAGACTATGACTTTGGTTTTCCAACTATTTGACTTGTATTTGGCTTCTTTATCGAAAGGAATTTGAAACCATATTCTCTCTGTCTGTATCTTCTATAATATCATTAATACATTTGTAATTTTTTAATAATTAATTAAATTCATAATCTTCAGCTTAGTCCCTTTATCCATCAGGGGTCGCCACAGCGGACTGAACCGCCAGCTGTTCCAGCATATTTTTTACACAGCAGATGCCCTTCCAGCTGCAACCCAGTACTGGGAAACACCAATACACACTCATTCTTTCTCACACACACACACACACTATGGCCAATTTAGTTTATTCAATTCCCCTATAGCGCATGTCTTTGGACTGTGGGCGAAACCGGAGCACCCGGACGAAACCCAAAGCATGAACATGCAAACTGCACACAGAAATGCCAACTCGATCCAACCGGGACTCGAACCAGCGACCTTCTTGCTCTGAGGCAACAGTGCTAACCACTGAGCCACTTTGCTGCCCAATTCACAGAACTTTTCCATTCCAACTTTAGAAATATAAAAATATAAGATGACTTAAATATTCTTCACAACATGCTTTTGAATGAATTTTTGGCTGAAAAGTTATTTGTTGAACCAATTTTTTTTGTGGAAAAAAATATATTATTAAGGTATTTAATAGAATTTATGGGTTTATCAAAACAACAATAGTATAATACAGCAAAAAATTGTATTTAGATCTATTTAAAATATTATTTTGGTTTTATAGTTGTTTAACTCATATTTGGACTAGAATGTCTATAACAATATTCATAGAATTTATTAATAATATTGCTGCCAATCAATGCTGTTATTTGCGATTGATCATATTCAGAATAGCAGTATGTGTGCATGTATACACAGTTGAAGTCAGAATTATTAGCCCCCCTAAAATATTAGCCCAATTTATGTTTTTCCCCAATTTCTGTTTAACGGAGGGCAGATTATCAACACATTTCTAATTATAATAGTTTTAATAAATCATCTCTAAAAACTGGTTTATTTTTACTTTGCCTGATGACCGTAAATAATATTTAACTAGATATTTTCAAGAAATTTAAAGGCTTAACTAGGTTAATTAGGGTAACTAGGCAGGTTAGGGTAATTAGGCAAGTTATTGTATAACGATGGTTTGTTCTGTAGATTATCGAGAATAAATATAGCTTAAAAGGCTAATAAATTTGACTTTAAAATGACTTTTAAAAAATGTAAAACTGCTTTTATTCTAGCCGAAATAAAACAAATAAGATGAAAAAAATATTAATCAGATATGCTGTGAAAATTATTCAAAAAGAAAAAAAAATCAAAGAGGAGCTAATAATTCTGACTTCAACTGTATATATCAAAAGTACAGATTCATTAATATTAATATATGTATAATACACTTGTTGCATGGGTATAATAAATCATTGGGTTATTTTTTTCTGTTATATTTAAATAACACTTTTCCTTTAAATGAGCTGTTGGACATGTTTGACACAACATTTGGTTGCAACAACCCGGCATTTATTAATGTACGTCATTAATGGATGTATGTCAAAATTGTTAATTTTATGCCAAAAATCCTCAGAATATTAAGTTAAAAATAAAAATATTGTGTAGATTTCCTACTGTAATATATCAGAATTATTATTTTTTTTTTTATTATTTGCTTGTTTATTTTACAGGGACAATACACTTGACATTGTTATACATAGATAACCGATGTTGTGTACATAGTGCATATAGCATAAAGCTAATTTGCAGCCCTCGTCCCTGGTTAGGCTTTACATTATAAAAAAGAAAAAAAAAATAATAATAATAAAAGAAAACCGGCAAGAATAAAACACAATACAGCAAACATGTACAATATTTACAGAGCCATAAACATAAGATGCAAGTCCATATGGATAAAGAGAAATGTAAATGGGACCAACCTGAAAGAGTAATGCTTAATGTTCACATTGCTGTAAAGATTTCAACCATTCTTTTAGCTTTACAGAAAAAACTGGGAGTTCTGATTGTAACTTTAAATGAACAGGCATGGCATTCCATAGATGTGAACCTTTTACTGAAAAGGATGACTGACCCACAGCGGTTCTGCATCTGCGGATTCTACAATTCCCACTTACTGCCCCTCTAGTCTTCGCCCCATCACTACTGAATTTATTTATTAACTCACAAACTACTTTAGGAGCAAGACCATGTATACACTTAAACATGTTTTTTAAAAACGAAAACTTTAAAAAACTATCAAAACTTAACAAATTATATTTTTTAAGAATTTGACAATGGTGCCATCTTATTGGTTTCTGATCCATTACTTTTAAAGTTTGTTTGTAAAGAGATATTACAGGCTTAATAACTGAGTGGGTTGCTTGACCCCAGATTATTGCACAATAAGACATACGTGAAAATATCATAGCATGCACAAACATTTGCGCTGCTTTAAGAGATATATATGGTCTTATCATACGAAAACAGTTTAAATTTGTCTTAATAGCCTTAGACATTTTCTTGATGTGGGCATCAAACTTAAGCTTCGAGTCTATGATGCCACCTAGGTATTTAAATTCACTCACTTCCTTAATTTCCTTTTGGTCATTTTTTACATTTTTTAATTATTAATTGCATTTTTGATTAATAATTTGCATTGCTAAGAGCTTAATTTTAATCAGAATCAGAATATCAAGATAAAAATTTTGTGTAGATTTCCTACTGTAATATAACAAAATTCAATTTGTGATTAGCAGTAGGCATTGCTAAAAGCTTAATTTTAACGATTTAAAGGATTTTTTCCTCAATATGTTTCTCAATATATGATTTGACTCTAAAACTCAGTGCGCCCAAATAGACACTCCCACACCATGCCTCTTTTCTTTCTCCGACACTCCCCCCTAAACAGAGCTGGACACGCCCACTTTTCTGACTTTTTCCAAAGTAGAGGTGTGAAAACACCCTGCTGAAACGAGGGGCTTTCATGGCCCTTTAACCCTCCGATTCCAGATATTCAAACAGCTTTATCTCAGTCAAATATTTTCCAATCCTCCCAAACCAAACATCAACGGACAGATTATGTATTCAGCTCTCAGATGATTGATGTTTTATAGTGTCACATATAAAAACATACAGATTTAACATCACTTTTGTATTTGATGCACACAGCAGAATGAGATAACTAATCTTGTCCCGCCATTAACACTAAAGAGAAAACCTGTTTGAGCTCAAATATTTATTTTGGCTCCCCGATTTTTAACCGTTATCACATTTTCACTTCCCAATATCTGACTGCATGTCAAGCAGTAAACCAAACATGCATCTGGATTGTCTAGACATGAATTACAATCATAAACACAAGAAGAAGTTGAGAAATGGTTAACTCCATGTTACACATTAACCCACTTCTATTGCCCTGCCAAACAAATGTACTGACCAAATGTGACATCAAATATGGACAAAAAAAAGTGTCATTTTAATTAAATTGAAAATTAAAATTAACCCATTGTTGGCTATTTGAACATTTGTCCCACAGTTGGGCATTTTTTTTATGTAACATCCAGTATAAGGTCCTAAATTCTCTAAATCTTTACTGAACAATCATCTACCTGCAGCACCTGACAGACTCTTTCCCTTCTTCATACATTACAGGTTAACCTGACTCCACAAAAGCTGAAATGTCTCCTCATGCCCTACCTGCCTATTAATCCTCCATTTTCCAGTGTTGTTTTAAACGCTTCAGTGTTTGTAATGAGGACTCTATTGTTTGCACTCTTCACTTCCGACCGAATGTTT